AATTTTACCATATTCAATTTCTTCATAGAACCCAGTCTCCTCAATGCAAATTCATATTCATACAAAAATAAAATTATAAATTAAGTTTTTTTCTAGAATCAGAACCGAACCAAAACTATAACCAAATGGTTTTTTGTTTGAAGAACCAAATTATTAATTTTTTGTGTAGAACCGTGTCGAACCGCTTGGTTTGGTTAGGTTCTGGTTTGGTTTGGTTTGGTCTGGACATTTTGTCCACCCTTAATTTCTACATGTTTGGTTCGATCGTGTTGAATCGGATTAAGAGAAATATTAAGAGCTTGATCGGGAGTTTTATTGTGACTTGTAGTTCTTGCAAAAGTTTTTTTATCCACAGTTCTTCCCATATTCCTTGTGCAACTGCTCTAAACTCAGCTTCAACACTGCTTCTTGCTACCACATTCTGTTTTTTACTCCTCCAATTTACCAAATTTCCTTATACAAAGGTGTAATATCCTGTAGTTGATCTTCTATCGTCTATTGAACCTGGCCAATTTGCGTCTGTGAATACTTCCACTTTCTTGCTTTCATTCTTCTTGAAGAATATTCCTTTTCCAGAAGAGCTTTTGAGATATGTAAGAATTTTGTATATTGCTTCCATATGAATTTCCTTTGGAGAGTGCATATGCTGGCTTACCACACTTACCACAAAAGTAATGTCAGGTCTAGTATGAGATAGGTAGATCAATTTTCCTACCGGTTGATATCTTTCCTTCTCAATTGGATTTTCAAGGTTTCCTATTTTCCTTCATGTATCAATAGGTGTCACTTGGTTTGCATCCAAGCATGCTTGTTTCAGTCAGGAGGTCTTGGATGTATTTTCGTTGTGAAACACTGATACTTCTTTTAGATCTTGCAACTTCCATTCCTAAGAAGTACCGCATTTGTCCCAGGTCTTTCACCTCAAATTTGTTTGCTAGACTTGAGTCTTTCCATCTCACTTATGTTATCTATTGTTATGGTTATAGCATCGACATATACAATTAAAATGGTCTTCATCCTATTTGTTGATTGTTGGAAGAACATAATGTAATCTGATTGTCCTTATTAATAACCTTGGCCTTTCAACACCTTTGCAAATCTGCTGAACCATGCTCTAAGTGACTGTTTGAGACCATACAGAGATTTTTTGAGTTTATGGACCTGATTTTCCTCATTCCTTTTACAAAAACCTGGTGGTAAGAGTCATGCAAACTTTTTCTTCCAGTTCCCCATTAAGGAAAGCATTTTTAATATCCAGTTGTTGAAGAGGTCAATCCAATTTAGCTGCTAAAGACAATAGAACCCGGATTGTATTCAACTTTGCCATTGGTGCGAACGTTTCTGTGTAGTCAATGTCATATGTTTGCGTATATCCTTTTGCAACAAGGCGAGTTTTATATCGTTCTATTGTTTCATCAGTTTTATACTTTACATTAAATACTCATTTGCAACCTACATGATTCTTTCCTCTTAGTAAATCGATCACCTCGAGTATGATCATCTATAAACGTAACAAAACATTTTGTGTGAGTCCGATTAGGAACTCGTGACGATCCCCATAAATCACTGTGAATCATGATAAATGGTTTCGATGGTTTGTATGTGGATTTTGGAAAAGTAGTGCGTTTGTGCTTTGCAAGTTGACATATTTCACAATGAAAGTCAACAGATGATTAATTCGAAAATATGGAAGGAAATACATGTCTTAAGTATTGCAAGTTACGTTAACCCATTCTATAATGTCACAATAGAATATTACTATCCCTAGAGTCAAACTTAGAATCACAAATTTCAATTTGACATTTTTTACTCTCATCAGCTTCTTCGAAGTAGTAAAGCCCCGCACGCTCTTTAGCGCCGTCAATCGTCTTCCCCACTTATAGGTCCTGATATACATAGTGAGGTTGAAAGAATTTAACCGAGCAATTGGAATTGATCGACATACAATAGATTACTGGACAAGTTTGGGACATGAAGGATAGATTTTAAAGATAAATTCATAGATACAAATACTATTTTCCTGCAACAGATGAGAGTAATCTGTCTGCAAGCTTAACTTTGATATTTCTAGCACAAGGTGAGTATGAGCAGAATAGATGGTAAGAATCAGTCACATGATCGGAAGCACCTGAGTCAATAATCTACGAAATTTTATATTTTAAGGAAATACTTGAGGCTTTCATAAAACTACTTTGTAGGCTAATGAGCTCGAATGATCATGTGCGAAAGATTGACTTGAAGTTTGAAGGCTAGAGAAGATTTGATTGAGTTGTTCTAATTGCTCAGGGTTGAATGCTCCATTTTTTGTTTCTTTGGATTTTTCAGTTTGGTCGACCAAAACTTGATAGCCACCATTTTTAATATTTTGTCTTGATTTCCAATCAGTGGGCTTGCCATGTATATCCCAACGTGTATCTTCTTTGTGTTCTGGCTTACGGCAATGTTCGCACTAGGGGCGTCCCTTTTGTTGTTTTTGGCCCGACCCATGTGTTGTTCCTTTTGATAATAAGACTCTAGACCCAATTCTAAGTGGCCCAAATTTTGAGTGTCCAGCAGGTCCAAAATTAGATATCCCAGCAGTAGGCCCATTAGAAGGCCCAAATGGAAGTGACCCTGTTCCAAAATTAGAACCCGTATTTGGCCCAAATTTAGATGGCCCAAAATTAGAACCTGTGACCCCGATTTCCTTAGAAAGAAGAGCTGACATCTCCGTTTCTCCACCGCCGATCATTCCTCCATCATCACTTTCCGACAAGTCTCTTCTCTTCTCACCTCGGCGAACACTTCCCTGGTTGATGGCAGCGGTCGGTGACCCAAAATCCTTCCTCTAACATCATCCAAATCGCAATTGAGGCCCACCAAACTCATAGACTCGTTCATTTTCCAGCCCTTTTTTGTACTTGACACTATCACTAGCGCATTCCTACTCTTCTTCGCAACTGGGGCCTAGTTCTTTCCAAAGGGAAGTCATCTCCAAGTAATAATTTGAAACTTCTCTCTCCCCCTGTTTGGTCTGCTAGAGCCTCGTTTTGATTTCAAAAATCTTGGAGAAATTTTCAGTTTCCGAATATATTTCTTGAACAGCATCTCAAACATCATTTGCCGTTGGGAGGAAGAGGTATGTTTTTCCTATGGATGATTTCATGGAATTTACCAACCGTACTATCACCAATGAGTTTTCAGACTTCCATGTCTGCAAGAGAGCGGCATCAGTCGGTTTCTTTGTATCTCCCGAACCCAATTTCCCCTTGCCATCGATAACCAATTTAATGGATTGAGCCAATTCTCTGAAGTTTCTTTCATTCAATTTTCCGACCGTGAGTTGAAAGGAAACGTTTTCTCCTCTAGTCGAACCCAATGTAGAGTTGATTTCTGCCTCGCTGTTGGAGGATTCTGAGGTCATGGTACTGTTGACGGGCACCTCCGTCATTGATTGCTAGGCTTTAGAGAGCCTGGCTCCGATACCATGAAAGCAGAAATAAATTCTGTATTTCCGTGTATTGAATAGCTAAACATAGTACAAAGGGAAAAGGGAAAAATGGAAATAAATATCCTAAATTAGGAGAGGAGAGAATTAGCCTGAATTAGCAACCTAATTACCGTTTCCCTACTTATGAGAATATCTAAATATGTTACAAAGGATTATACTATACAATCTTTCAGATTTCTACAGTTTCCTACATTAATTCTAATTGTATCATTTTGTCAGCAAAATCTTCAAAATAAGTTCAGTGATTGTAAGCATTTTGATCGAGAGTCAATGGAAGCCAGTTCGATCTTATTCTGAAATTATATTTTTGCAGAAATAGTTCTCCATTTAACCTTTATAAGCTATCAGTTATCTTGTCAATGCAACTTCCTACCTCTATTTATATCGAATTTGTTTTTGAGGTTGTTTCAGGCTGCAAGTTAGGCAATTGTAGTTAAACTTTTGTGAAATTACAAACTTGCAGGGGGAGACAGGAAAAATGTCTGCCAGTGATCCAAATTCTGCCATCTATGTGACTGATTCTGGGAAGGATATTAAAAACAAGGTTATACTTCTGCGTGTGTTTTCCACACATCTCACTCATTATCAAGTGGAACAGTAATTTATCCATATTGCATACTTCTCTGCTGGGATAACATCTATGATGGCATATATTGTCCTGCGTCTCGTGACTATATAAATTTGGGGAGTGTTGTAATTATGGGGTTGGATGCATCCATGCAGTAATGTCTTTCTGCATTTCATCGCTTGCTATATGATATCATTAAGAAATGCGGAAAGTAAAAATAGATTCTAGTTTGATTTAAGTTTTTGAGAAACCCATTTAGAAAAAAAAAAATTTGTTTACCAATAAGTTCCTTTCAAATGTAATTCCACGGCAAGCCATAATCAATGGTTAAAAAATTAACTTCATTGCTAGTCTAACAATACGTTACTTGTCCTTGAGCATCATCAAGCTATAGCTAGGTCATTACTTTGTAATTCACTACCGTGCAAGTGCTGGGAAGGGTGGATTGGGTATTGGACTAATTTATATAGACAATTTGCATAACAGGGCTGCCAAACCAGTCAAGCACTCATTCTCATCCTTGGCTTGTGACATTTTTATCCATAGAAACCCTTACTGCAAAATCACATCATATATCTTTTCACATCAGTTATTGAGTTCTTTCGGCTAGTGTATTTTCCAAACTGTAACGTGGTTTTAGGGTTGAAGGTTCCTTTTGGGCATTAAACATCATTCAAGTGTTTCATTAATCCATATTTTATATTATAAATTTTTTCATCGTACTTCTTTGTATTGATTATGTATAACATTTCAAATTGATCACGACTTTGAGAGACACAGAAAAAAAACTCCTGTTCTTGATACCTCTAAATTAATCCATGTCTTATAGCAGTAGTCATTCATGAGTTCAAATCTAAATGCTTATGCTGCTGAACCCCTCTGATAATGCTTTATTGGTATTTAGTGTAGTTACTTTGGCTAAGAATGATTTTATTTTCAGATAAACAAATATGCTTTCTCTGGCGGGCAAGATTCTGTTGAAAATCATCGAAAGTATGGAGCAAACCTTGAGGTACTATATAATTTATATCATCTACTGGGTAATGAAGTTGAACTATATTTTTCGAGTTACATATCCACAATTTTCACTTGTTTTCAAGTTTCACATATATCCTCTACCTACATGTTTTTGGTAGCTGGGTAGTTGTGTAGCCCGCCATGTCTTAAATAATCTTTTGTGCATGTGAGTTCTTTTAAATACTTGGGATAAGGCACACTAATCTCTCTCTTGCCTTCCTTTTTGATGTTTTCCAGGTGGACATACCAATTAAATATCTCGGTTTTTTCTTGGAGGATGATGTCGAACTCGATCACATTAGGACGGTAAGATAATAATGTATTTACTATGTAAGTTACACATTATACTTTCGGTGGAATTGTGTTTGAATTATTTTTTTACTTGTCCTTTCCCGTTCTTACACAATTGCAAACAATAATCTCTTTTTCAAATAATGATCATATTATAATCACTCAGGAATATGGAGCTGGTCGTATGCTAACAGGCGAAGTTAAGAAACGGCTTACGGAAATTCTAACAGAAATGGTTGAAAGACATCGCAGGGCCAGAGCTGCTGTGACAGACGAGGTATTTGGGGGTTAATTTATTAGTTTTATCTCAAGTTCCTGTCAAACAATTTGATGCTAATTCTGTAAATCCTCAGAACCAAATCAATTCAAGGATTTAGTTTTATAGCTAATAAGCATTTGGAGGAAGAAAAACTTAAGTAACTTTGCATATTGAGGCTCTCATTGTTGTATACTCCGATATATATTTCCAGTATATGAATTCTCGATTCTTGATGGTGGTCTAGAAAATTAAGTTCTCTATCAATTCTTCATTAACCTTTTGTCTGTCTTCTGTTCACGCGACTGGATACAATTGCTACAACTGAGTCACTGCCTAATAGATGGAATTTAAAAGAGAAGATAGAAGTTTATTTATTTTTTTCCTTTTTCGGATAATTACTTTTGGAAGATGTAAAACAGGCGAAATCATATTTTACAGATGTTGACTGCCAAGAGCTATTCATCTACTTATAAATTTGTATGGTTATGTTCGATTAATATGATGTCTATACTTTGTTTCCACAGATGGTAGACGCATTCATGGCAGTGCGGCCGCTTCCCAACATGTTCAACTAAATTGGAAGGAACTGATATTCGAGTTCTATGTGTTTCGTGCAAAAGCTATAGCTTTTCTTACTCATCAAATATTGAAGAACACTTGAAATCGAAAGAATTTTGTTCTTCCATGGATCCATTTTTTACACACCTGGTCATTTATCCAGTCTAATTGAGTCTTGACTTCTTTTTTAAGCTTTATGACAGAGTGGAGGCAATTATTGATAAATGTAAATATCATTTTCTTGACTTGGAATTTGTCTCATTAATCAAAAAATGGATAACTTTGTTTAATTACTGCTAAAAATACGTGGGATACTAAGATGCAAGCGTTGTCCTCTTCATCTTTGTGATTGCATGATTTCATGAATTCTGATGGTCCTTTGGGACGAAAAGTACAATAAAACTTGATCTAGTCATCATAAAAAAAAGTGAATCTATGTGACACGTGACAAAGAAATCATTACTTGCTACAGGGGAAAAATAATAATAATAAAGAGGTGTTTAATTATCAGTGTCCGTAGAGATGCATATAATGAAATTTGATCTTCATTCAGAGATTTTGAGAAATTGGTATTGAGTTGTTGATTTGGGCTGCATGTTGGCTAAGCTTACTTAGAAGTGAATTAGTCAAAGTTGAAAATTAGGGAGTGAGCAATACTTTCAGAGTCAATAATATTTTTAATTTAAAGTAAAAATTATTAATAATATATGCAAATATGATTTTAAATAAATAAAAAAAACTATTAAAAAGTAACTTTTACTCTTCAAAATTAGCTAAACTGTTATGTGGAGAAGAGTTGTTGGCCTTTCCTTTTCTGCAAAGCCATTTTAATAATAATAAAATGTAGTTGGAGGCTACAAGTTTCCCCACCACTGGTCTATTAAGTATTATTAATATTTTAGGTGTTATCAAACCTGCAAATAATATCAGAAAATTTACATTTTCGTCCTTTCCCCTTAACGGATAATGCAGTTTAACAGCGTTACAATGTACTGATTGTGCAAGTTTTTCAAGTTTAAAAAGAATGCAAGTCTGTGTTCCATTGCAGGTTGGGAAACGAGGTTGAAGTGGTGGGGATAAATTTAGTAATTTTTAAAATTATAAATAAAGAATATAAATATAAAATTAAAAAATAATAGAATTAAGAATTAAAAAGAATTTTAAATTGAAAAAAAATATTTATAATATGAAGAAAATAATTAAGAAATTTTAAAACTATTTCCAAAAAAATTTATAATAAAAACAAAACAAAATTATAAAAATTAAATAAAGAATATAAATATTATTTAATTAAAATTGAAAAATTAAATTTTATCATAAACAGAAAAGAGTTAAAAATAATTTCAAATTAAAAAATATTATTTATAAAATGAACAAAACAATTATGATTTTTAAAAAATATTTCCAAAAAAATTATGATAAAAACAAAATAAATTAAACAAAGGGAAATTATGAAAATTAAATAAAGAATATAAATATTATTTAATGAAAATTAATAAAAAAAATTAATATTATTTAATTAAAATTGAAAAAATTAAATTTTATCATAAAAAGAAAAGAATAAAAAAATAATTTTAAATTGAAAAAATATTATTTATAATATGAAGAAAATAATTAAGAAATTTTAAAACTATTATCAAAAAAATTATAATAAAAACAAAACAAATCAAATAGGAGGAATATTAATATTATTTAATTAAAATTAAAAAAATTAAATTTTATCATAAAAAGAAAAGAATAAAAAAATAATTTTAAATTGAAAAGAAAATGAAGAAAAAAAAAGTCATCAACTGGGCAATCACACAATCAGCTGAGCGATTGTTTCTCGCTGAAAATTGTGAGAAATCACAATTTCCGACGAGAAAAGCTGTAAAATTACAAAATAAACACACAAAGCACTACTACACCCAATAATCTACCTAAATAATGAGGAATAAAAATTATACATAACAATTTAATCAACAAATATTTGAAACATAATAAATTAAAAAATCAATCTCATAATCCCCAAAAAAACTAACATTATTGAAAATAATGGCCGGATTGTGTGGTGGTCGACGTTGAGTTGACTGTGAGGATAACTTTTTCGACTGAATCACGACTGTTAGACATGTGAGCAAATTTTGAAATTTCTTTTTTTTTTTTTTCTCTCCACTCAAACATTTGGTTGAAGGTGAGGGTACTTTTGGGTTGATATTTGACTTTATCATTTTAACTTTTTAACTTTTTTCATTTAATGGTCAAAGACCATTAAAGAAATATGGTAGGGTGAACCTGCCATTTCCTTGTATTTCCTCCTTTACCCGACCATTTCCTTGTACTTCCTCCTTTTTTGTCGGGATAGCTCGAATAGGGAAAAATTCAAAGGGGAAAAAATTGCTACAGTGTGATAAAATGGAACAATTCACTGTTGTTAACTACGGTACCTTCCCATTCCTTTTTTCATATATAGTAGGGAAATGCAAAAACCCATGGATATGATGTAAAATTTATGTCCATGCCATTTGAAAAAGCTAGTGGCTGTCTTTTCTTGACTCTATTCTATTGTTATACTCCCTCTTAAAGACTGACAGGTGGACGACAAATTGACATATTAGTGAATGTAAACCTAAGATTAGGCCAAAATGGCCGGTGCTTCATTAAAATCCCAAAGAAAATCTAGCACAGAAATTTGACATTTACACAATTTGACATTAGATTGGTAAACACTTCGATTTACTTCCTTTTCGAGAGGACCTTTCAAATTGTGGCTTATGCAAACTTACACATAAAGCTGGGAATAAATAGAGTCGTGCTATTCATACCGAAAATGATTGAAATACAAGTTGATCGACACTCACAATGAAGGATCCCACTTTTTCTTTTTTGGAATTTTATAATCACACGGGCCCGTGGCATTTGAGAGGTTGTCAAATTCGTTGTCATCCATTTTCGGTACAAATGGAAAAGTCCTGAATTATAATAACTCAGCCACATGAATTTCATTTATTCATGTGAAACCCGTGTTTGAGCTTCAACAAATAGCTGAATTTCAAAATTGAAATTCTCAAACGAGCCATCATTTTGCATAGCATTATAAATTATGTTCACCAAATATTGGCATTAATAAGATAATGAATGAGATCCAACACTGCAAAAGTATGGTCACCAAAACTTGACATTAAAATTTGAATTTTGTGTCGTTTATTGCAAAATATTATATTCAACGATAGTTTTCAATTTGTTTCAACCTTTGCAACTTCACACGCTATAGGTATGGGCTCCATTTTCCTTTTTTTTGGCAAGTTCAATTATGAGGAGAATATCCCAATCATATTTACATGGTGTTTGATGGGATTAAAACTAGATTTTTAATAGATTGTGATAGAAATTTTTGAAATATGTGGTTAAAAAGTTGTGGGACCCATGAAAGATGTAGTTAATATTGATTATTTGACTTTGACTTAAATTAAAATCAGATTTTAATCCGAACCAAACATGTGCTTATTTGTTTATTTTGCGTTTTAATTGCTTTGCTCCATGGTTATTGGTATCATTCTCTTTCCTTTTGGCAAGTTCATTATTTGGCAAGATGGGCTCTCTCAAGAAATATAAAACAAATTGCGAATAAGTCTCATGACCTAAGTTGACGACATCCATTTTACATCCGAGGAGCAAACTATTAAAGTTAATGATAATTTGAAACATAAGCGAGATGTTTGATGACAACTAAGTCCAGCGGCAAAGCTACGGGGGATGAGGGTGACGGCCATTAAAATTTACCTAAGTTTTTTGAATATATTCAAATATTTTTTCATCACATGATCTATCTTTAATATATGTAAACCTGCACATGATCTATCTCTTTAGACAGGCCACGTGAAACGAAGGCCACTTAAGAATTTATTTTTCTCATAAATGCCCGGCATAGTCCGGCGGGTCAACTCGAATAACGACCACCCATTTTCCTTTAGAAATTGAATGGGAATTTGTGTAAGTAGACAGAGAAAGAAAAAGGCAATAAGGGGGGAAGAATCTTGAGTTAGAAAGCGTGCCGTGCCAAAAAGGCTACTTTTATGAACCACTCGTAACGATCAACCTATCTGTCTCATCCCCACACACCTTTTATCATTTATTATTCTCTGAGGATTGGTAAAGTCCAAATGAACGCCTTTTGCGTTCAAAGTTGAGAGCATAATTTACGCGATTGACCCATCTTGTACTTGCGATCACTATGCATGCCACGTTTGCGACCTCACATAAAGTATCACATTTTTTAGAAGTTTTGATGTATTTTTATTATGAGAACAAAACGCGTGGTTTAGTTAGATTCAAAGGCACAAGATTTATAAGCATTTTCATCAATGCGTTACGTTTTGGTATACTAGACAGATCATGTGAAAGTCAACTAAACAAAGAATAAAACAACACGCCATGCAAGCAAGGTCTGCACTCTGCTTAGTTTAGCCCCGTCACGAGCAGGGGCGGAGCCAGCCCATCAAAATAGGGGGGTTCGAGAGTTGAAGGGGTGAGGGTTCAAGGGGTTGTCCCCGAAATTAATTTTTTTTTGAAACATTATCTATTAAAATGAGGGAAGTTAGTACTTTGTGATGGAGAAAGGAAACCAAAGAACATAAATTAATGTACATTATTAACAAAAAAATCAAGAAACATATAAATTATCAGAAGTTACATACTCGAATTTGAGCTCAAGTTTACATAGATCGGATCTTCCTCAGTAGCCTTAAACTCATCAAACTTACACTCAAACAATAAGACGACATATAAACTCAATAAAACCCCAAATTAAAACATGTAGAAGACCCAATTTAATTTTCATGATCAAAATTCTACATTAATGGTACTTGTATACTACGATACAAATTATTATCATGGACGAATACAGAAAGATCAGTGCAAGAACGTAAATAGTGCAATTAAAATATGAAACATTTTCAAGTGAAACAATCATATTACTCAACTTCATACAACATAATGTATAATAACTAATGGAGTACAAAAAGCTATTGAAACAATTTTAGACTAAACTAAAATATGTCTTATCAAATAAAATATATCCTTATTCTAATTAAACTATTTATACACAAAAAAAATTAAAAAAAAAAAATTTGTCAAAAATTGAGGGGGTCCTGGATCCCCCCCACCTCCGCCCCTGGTCACAAGTGCCTTCCAAGGCGATACGGTAGTTTGGCAATGCCCTTGAACGCCTCGTCCAAAGTGATACTTCTGAGGTGAAGCGTCGACCTCGTGCTGCAACATATTTCCAAGACGATTGGTATCTTTCCCAGTGAGCATTTTTCAATGGCATCGTCTCGTATAAGTCAAAGCACATTTGATTGACATGGATATGACAACTATGTAGCAACATCGCTCATTAGAATTTTCTAGACGACTTCTTAGCCTACACAGGCTAGGGTGGCTAGATGCACATAACAGCTAAGGATTTAAACAGTGGATGGGCTCGGTTGACAAATCATGTTTGATAGGTGAGTCGATAGGGTGAGATCACGAATCAAGCATTCAAAAATTACTATGACTCCTCTATTGGTATATTTACTCACACAGTCACTTACATAAAGGAATCAGAATGTGAAATGAATCTATATTTAAGAGCCTCAACTTCAACTTTCCCTTCAAAGGGAAATCCACTACTACTACTGTATTCCAAATATTTTAGCCCCAAGTTTAACAAACTTTTTTGATATTATAATCTAATCAAGTTTCATCTTGAATTATATATTTCTTTAAATTCATTACTTTTATTCACATTTTATGGAACTCGTTGACTTATAATTTCAAAAACTTATGTCAAATGGGGGGTTAGAAGTTGTGACGAAACTTTTGATAAAAAAATTTAACAGATTTTGATAAAAGATGATAAAATTTGTAGTTGAAAAGTTAATAAAAAAATTTAAATTTCATTAAGAACGATTAATGTTTATAGCTTGAATAGTGGATAAAATTTTAACCACATTTTATCGAGCAACCACTTTATCTAAGTGACACTTCTATATATTTAAATAAAGGGGAACAAATTATTTTTGTAACTTAACGGCGACCGTAACTATAACCGTCCGAAGGTAGCAAAATTTCTTATCGGGTAAGAACCGATGACTCACTTTTTCTAAGTAATGGGGAAGATGACCATTTGTGTCAAAATAACAGATGCCAAAAAGAATAAAATGCCTTGGACACGTAACATGCCACTGAAAGACAATGTCCCGATTATTCACAAGATGTGAGAAGCAGATGATTATGAAGAAGACGAAGAATTTGTTGGAAATCCTACAATTTTTAATAGTGGAAAAAAAAAATGTATTTTTGTAACTTCATAGTTTATACACTTGCTAGCTTCCAACTTTTGCCTTTTATTCTTGACCTAATCTCTTCACTCCGTTATCCATCACTCAGTAAAGTAATGACGTCAGCACTTTTACCCTTAAATTTTTAATAAAACTCATCTCTCTAATCCGGTAATCCCCATACGCCCCAAACTCACGAAAATCCCATGTCCTCAACAGAAGTTGAACTAGAAATTTTCCACCACACCGCCACCGCCACCGCCAAACGCCAAAAGTACCACCACTATCATAACCGCAACAAGTCTTTATTGCCTGGGCTCCCCGACGATATAGCCCAGATTTGCCTTTCTCTTGTACACCCTTCGACTCTTTACTCCGTTTGCCATTCATGGCGCCGCCTTATATATTCGCCGTCTTTTCCTCCTTTCCTGTCGATTTATGGTATATTTTTGTCTACAAAAGAAGTAGATCAAGCTTCTAATCGCTCAAGATCTATTGAATTCTCGTGTTTTGAGCCGATTTCTTGTAAATGGTTGTCCCTTCCGCCGCCGCCTCTGGAACCACCGCACCAATTTTTGTTCCACCACCCTTCGTTTATATCCCGGAAACTTCCTATTCAATCCGTTAGTGTTTCAGGGAATTTAGTTCTTCTCGCCGCCACTGCCGATCAATTCCTCCCGGCCCTCTCTCGGCCACTCATTTTTAACCCCTTGTCCCAGCGGTGGACCTATGGCCCGCCATTCGCCGCCCCTAGACGATGGTGCGTAGCTGGTGCATCACGCGGTGTCGTATACGTAGCCAGTGGAATTGGGTCCCACTACAACACCATGTTGGCTCGGTCTGTCGAAAAATGGGACCTCAAAAATATCAACAACAATTATTTACGATCACGATCTTGGAAATGGGAAAAAATGGGAGGACTGAAGGACGGAAAATTCAGCCGGGAAGCCATTGATGCAATTGGATGGAGAGGAAAGCTCTGCATGGTGAACGTAAAAGGCGATGCGGCCAAGGAAGGCAAGATTTATGACGTAAAAACCGACTTATGGTCTGAGATGCCGGAGGGGATGCTGGTGGGGTGGCGGGGCCCTGCCGCCTCCATGGATGAGGAAACCATCTATATGGTGGATGAGTCGAAAGGTGTATTAAGAAAGTATGATTCCGACAGGGACATGTGGGTGGAGATAGTGGTGGATGATAGGCTTAAAGGGGCTCAACAAACGGCGGCGGCCGGTGGCAAGGTTTGTGTATTGTGTGGTAATGGTGGTGATATTTTCGTGGTGGATGTAGCGGCGCAACCGCCTAAATTATGGGTTGTGAATACTCCGGCGGGGTTTGAAGCTGTCAATATTCATATCTTACCTAGAATGAGCCACACAGTACATTAATTACTTGAGCATATTTTCAGGTAAATTGGCAAATTATTATCTTTATCTTATTAGACAGTGGATAATATATTTTAAAAATTTATTTGTATTTAAGCATGATTTTTATAGAATGGTTAATACTGCTTGAATTTTGAATGTATAGTTTGGATGAAATGAGTGAGTTACCAGATAGATAGTGTTTACAAGGAGCAATAGTGGAATCAACCATGCTGCATATACATTTTCGTTGACATTCAATGATGTGGCAACTCATTTTTACCGAGTGTCAAATTTGTTGTACAAAATGACTGTACAATTAGTTTAGGCCCCGTTCGGGAGTGATTAAAAGCCAATTAAAATTGAAAATATGGCCGTTATTGGGTCCCACAACAATAACGGCTATATTTTCAATTTTAATCCGATTTTAATCCCTCCCATACAAGGCCTTAATCCTTTTGAAATAGTGATTTTTTGGAGAATATGTATGGTCCAAAAATGAGAATTTTTTTTTATTATTTTATTGAAAAATATGTGGTTGAAAATGAATTTTAAAAAAAATAAATTTATAAAAAATGGGGATCAACTAGTAAAAATACTATGTTTATATTGTTGAACTCCTCGTTAAAATACATAAGCTTTCATTTTTTTTATTTTTTTAATCAAAACCTGACCCATTTATTTATTTTTATAAAGGGAGATTTGTAACAGATGTTGCAAACCTTTTAAAAATGTGCAGTCAAGCCCTAAACATTTTGATTTTAGCACATGCATTCCAAACATTTTTAATAAATGTACATCGAAAGGATCTCTAATGGTTTTTTAAAAAATATTTGTGAGTTCATAAAAACTCAAACGTTTTACCTTAATTTGCCCTATAATTTAACATTTAATGAATTAAAAAAATAAAACATTCATATTCCATGTTCCCCCAACCCCACAGAACCCTATCGAGCCATCGAAATTGCCACCAAACTTGTCCCTCACAAACCTATCGCCACCAACATCAAACTGAGGAGAGTTTGCAATGACCAACACAATCAATGATGGGCTCTCCTAGTACCTTGTCAATCATGTACTATCACTGTAAAACATGCTTGCATGCTTTTGACCAAATTCTAAATTGTGAAACTTACTTGAAAATCTCAAAACGAGGTTGAATCACTTGCATTTTGATTGCTTGCTTTTCACACCGTCTTCTACCCACTCCTTGGTCAAAAACTCTATCACAATGGAAGGAATTTGATAGCCACAATTCAAGAACTCAATTTGAGATGTTATATTTCCAAAAATCAAGCTTCCACTCTCATCTACTTTTCACCCTTTGAAGAAACACCCTTAGAATACAGTTGTCTAAGATCGCAGTTGCATAGTAGATTGTATCACGTATTTCTTTAGTATTTTGGATTGTATTGAATTATGTTTTCACACACACACACACACACACACACACACACATATATATATATAATTTTTTTTTTTTTTTAATAATAGAAGTTATATTTGGTTGAAGGTGATGGGAGGTTAAATTTTAAACTCAAAATTTAACTCCTTCCTCCAAAAAAAAAATCATCATATACAAATCAGGTCGGGTAAATCCATATGGGCGACCCGTTTTCTTCCAAGATCTCTCACTCGCACATGGTGGATTTGACGTGATTCTAATATAATCTCAATTATATTTATCTCAGCATCTCCAAGTTCATATGGATAAATGGACCGTGCGATCAGCGAGTTAAATTAAGAGAACACAACATTATACACATGTTAAGGATATATAGCAACTCTACAAAAGGAAATATATTTTCTCGCTATATCCCGACATATTTTGTAACACCAGTTCGAGTATTTCTAATCCCTCGATAAACCAAAGAACATACTCAACTTTCTCATATATATTGCATTCACTATTGTGTCACAAAACTCAAATGGTTAACATAATTGTCTGGCCAGTGAATACAAACAGAGGTGTTAGATAAAATAGTCTTTATTTCCTACTTGAATCCCTTAATTTCAAATCGGTTGCTTTCCTAGACATGTTCCATCAAACCGAATCAACCATAATTATTGACAACATGTTAAAGTAGCAACACCGAAAAAAAATTTCGAAAAACAGTTAAAAGTCATAAGGGTATAAAATTAACATAAATGCTTCAGAGACTCACACGATGAAGAATTATGGATCAATTCTTTCATTTTTCATTGGTCGTTAAAGTACACGTGGTATGAAACATATGTTACGATATGTTCTCCATTTCTTAGAGCGTATGCTTAATCTTACAAATAAAATGCACCATACAGATCATAGTTAAGATATTCTTCAATATCTAGCATGTGTTCTCTTTATCGTTACACATCTAGGCAATATCAATCGAGAACTCGATCTGTCTATAGAACATGTTTTATGGATAACAAAAAATCAATACCGATTACTTGTAATCTCATCTTGATATCTTATCAAGGCGACTGTATCATATACACAATATGATCACTACATCTCATCTCAGCACTCCTCAAAGTATATGAGGCGATTGTTCGTATGAGTGAACCAATCTCAACTTGTTGGACATACTTTATGTGTGCATATTAAATAATAATCTAAAAATCACTGTAAAAGATTACTCTTAACATAAGAACTCAAATATTATTCATTAATGGACTTATATGAAAAGTTTACACGGTACATAATTCAAATTCTATGCAATCTCAAAGATTTAACATGAGTCATAAAAACATCTCTAGGGATAGATTTTGGAAATGGATCAGCTACCATTTGGTGTATAGAAATATACTGCATACTCACTTCCTTCTTTCCTATGATGTCTCTTACAAAATTATATTTTGTATCAATGTGTTTGATTCTGTTATGATACTTAGGATCCTTTGTATATACAATAGATGCCTAACTATCACAATAAATCAATATAGGTCCCACATCACCTCTAAAGACTCTTAGATGATGTAAGAATCTCCTTAACCAAACAACTTCATGTACCGCTGAAGCTCATGCTAGTGATGCTACGGATTCTGCTTCCATTGTGACAAAGAAATGCATGTTTGTTTCCAAGAGATAGCGCCATTATCAAGCAAGAATGCATATTCCGAAGTTGATTTGCACTCATCTAGATCTCCACCCCAATCAACATCAGTATATCCTTTTAAGCACAAATCGTTCCCTTGATGGCATAAAGAGTAATTAGCAATACCCTTCAGGTATCTCGATATCCTCTTAACAGCTTTCCAATGCTCTCTTCCGAGATTAGATTGATACATGTTAACCAGACCTACGACATAACAAATGTAGGGGCGATTACACATCATGGCGTACATCAAACTCCCAACTGCACTAGAGTATGGAACTCTAGACATTTCTTCTTTTTCCTCAAGAGTTTTAGGAGATATACGAAGAGTTAGACTTTCACCTTTCGATAAAGAAGTATCAATGGGATTGTAATTCTCCATTTTGAAACTTTCGAGAATTTTCTTAATATATAGCTCTTGTACCAGAGCAAGAAACATCTTCGAATGATCTCTATGAATTTTAACACCTAATATGTAATATGCTTCACCCATGTCCTTCATTTCAAAATTTGAGGACAACTATTTCTTAATTACAAATTAGGGAATCATCTACGTAGAGAGATAAAATTACGAATTTCTCATTGGACTTTTTCAAATAAATACAGTGACCTTTGTCCACCATGACAAAATTGTACGAGATAACTGCACTGTCAAATCTCAAGTACCACTGTCTAAAAGACTGCTTTAGGTCATAGATTGATCTATTCAATTTACAAGCTTTATTCTCTTGGCCAATTTTAATGAAACTTACTTGATTGTTGCATGTAGATTTCTTCATCCAATTCTTCATTGAGAAAGGCAATCTTTACGTCTATTTGATGTAATTCTAAATCGAAACGTGCTACGATATCTAAGAGTAGGCGAATTGAAGTAAATCTCCCTACTAGTGAAAATGTCTATTCATAATCTATACCCTCCTGTTGAGTATAATCCTTTGCCACCAAACGATTCGTATACCTCTCTATAGTCCCATTAGCTCTTGGCTTTATTTTGAGAACCCATTTGTTCCCAATGGCTTTTCGACCAGATGAAAGATCAATCAAATCCCAGAATTGATTCAATTTTATATACTCCATCTCTTCTTCCATTGCATTGTTCAACTTTTTCTTTTCAGGGCATGATAGAGCTTATTGTACTGATTTTGATTCTTCATCATCTTTTGGAGATACTAGGAGAACTTGCCCTTCAATCTCGAAATGACGTTTTGGCATACTTTTTCTAGTACTCTTACGAAGTGAAAGTTCCGATATGACCCTGTCACTTGGAATTGGAGATAAATTGCTCCCACATCGATCAACGGGTGGTAGTGCTTCCTCTTGCACCTCAGTTGATCCTCTATCATCTAATTCATACAAATGTTCTCCCTTACTAGAAAATTCACTCCAAGAAACATCACATCCGTGATTCTATCTCAGTTATAGTCTCATCTTGATTTTCACCTCTGAACGCATATCCTTTGGACTGGTCTGAGTATCTTATAAAGATACACTTCTTGCCTCGCGGACCCAATTTTCCAAACTTAATAGTCAGTTGTACGAGTCTAGTCACACTAATACCACCATATTTCTCTCTCAAATATGTCAATATGTCCAAACGTCATGAGTATTCGAGAACTGTCCACATTCATGAATGAGATCATCCACCTCGGAACTTACTAAAATTGCACGAGCAGTGGAATCTTTCTTTTTCCATGTTTGGTAAGTTTCATGATCCCTTCTCTGTTGAGCAGTTTGACGTACCCCTGGGTCTTCTATCACGTGGTTAACCGGGAGTTCCGTTAGTACAAGAAGGAGTACATACCAAGTTTTATGACGCCAGGTGTTATAGTTATCGTCATTCAATTTGTCGCCCTTATTAAGGTCAACTATGATATTCTTAGATGCTATGGCCTGTCAAAATTTTAGAGACAATCATATAAATGTCCATTTATGCGCACATATCAT